AGTGAAAATGTCTTTTTATAGAATTATATCAAGTCTGTGCCTAATGTGGTTTGTTTGTTATGGACACAGCACCCGTGTGACTCCATCAAACCCAACCTGTGCTCTGCTAATAACTGATTAACTCAGGCAACAGGCCCGAATTTCACATTCAAAAACAAGGCTCTGCCTTTCCTCCTGGCCAGGTGGGGACCACCAGGGATGGATCCTTTCTAAGAACCTGTTAGAGAGGACAAACAAACCCCCTTCCAGTGGAAAGGGACTATGTGGGAACAGCGTAACGAGAGCACAACTGGAAGATGAATAACCACAGTTAGTTCCCCAGCTGTGAAGGACACACCAAAATGGAAATTGAAATGTCTTCCATCTGAAGGCACTGCTGACTGCTACACAGTGTGGTCACTGGGGACTGCTTCAACCTTAAGCCTCATCCTGACAGTTTTCTTCCCAACAATTCACACAGGCTTTGGATGGTGGCACCCACCAGTCCAACACAGACCGGTTGGTCAGTTATTACCTCTTCTAGGCAATTCCCACTCCCTCGTCCTCCCCAGCTCTGCAGACACACATGACCCTGTCACGGAAGGCAGCACATCATTTCTAAGCAAATGAAACACCCTTTGCTACCTGCAGAGCTCAATGAGTTCAGTGGGTGCTTTACCATTACCCTCAGGCACTCCCAAAGCACAGATCCCATCGCTCACTTGAGGTGACAGTGCCATACCTTGTCATATCTGGTTCTGGGCCTTCATTCTTGTAAGATGCCTCAAGTTGTTTATGTCGTGTGAGAAGGTCGTCCACCAAATTCTGCCTCCTGTCTCCCTCCAGCTGTGTACTGATGGCACTTGGTTAAGGAACAAACTCTAAAACACTGAAAAACTTTAATTTAATTACATAAAATATCTGTTATACATTCTGAAAATAAATCAGATCCCCTGATCATCAACATTAACTAGGGTAACTATTTTACCTCAAGAAAAGGCTCCAATATCTTAAAGGATGGGTCACACCTTTCTGAATGAAATCTGCTGTTATTCTAAATGTGTTTCTGAACCTCACATATCTCAAACAAAAAGTTTTATACAGTGGCCACAGAATGATCTTCATGTCATCACCTCAAAGCAGCAAGAGAACTGGAAGACTGCTTACTGCCAAATTAGCATTAAGAACAGCAACTCCCTCTCCAACACCCAACACAAGTCTTTTATCTATCACCAAGGAGCCCTGAGCAGTTGGTCTCCTCTCCAGCACTGACAGTGTAACCATACTGCATGGGTTAAGTTCAGGGAAGGATGAGACTCCTTAAAAGAGTTCCAACTCACGCTGTCACAAACGGGGCAGGCCCAAACAGAACAGAGCTTTTAAAACCAGTGGGGTACTTCACATCTCATTTCACTGGAGGCTCATAATACAGACCAGGGGAGTAGCTCTTAGCCAAGTGATCAGAGAACAACCAAAAATTTCCTTTGAGCATCTGTTTCCATTTGCAATTGGTCAGCAGAACACCCCGACAGCCACTGGTGCAGCAGAAAAACAAATCACGCAGTGTCTCTGAAAGACAAGATGCCCTGAAGTGCTCTTGGCTTCAACAGGGGACGTGTGTTTGCTTTCTTAAATTAACCTCAGTGAGTTCTGAAGGAATACTAACCCTCTTCCAAGTACTGCTGAGTGGATTAGGCAATAGCTGAACTGATCTGTGTGTGCTTTCTGCCACAGCAGCAACATTTGCCTGCTCTCAAGCACTCACTGGATGGGGAAGTGTCACCCTTGCATCAGCACAGCACTGAGGGGCCAGGGCTTAGGAGGGATTTCTCATATAATAGGCTTGAAATTAAATGTGCCTTCATCAACTCAGATTGCTCCTGGATACCTTCAGGGAGATGGACAAATTTCTTTGACTCCTTTGGCATGACTCTCCCAGCATATGGGAGGAGCAGTATATCCAGGCCACAGGGTAACACTCCTAGAAGAAAACCTGTGATTTCTTCCCAAGGCATATTTTGCAGCGTTTTGACAACATTCTGAAGATGGAGCCCTGTTGTTCCTTAAGTCAGTCAAAGCCAAGACTCCCAGAGCCCTGCCCACAAGGCTTCATCCTTCCCTGTAGCAAGGCCTGGCCAAGAGAAAATATCAATTAACCAGTTTTGTGCTGGACAGGTGACCTTGGCTCACACTGCAGCACCCGGCCAGCAGTGCCAGCACAGCACAGGCAGCACCAGGACAGCTCTGAGATGGCTCACACCATCTTGTTAAGCTCCTGTCTGACACAGAGATAACCAGAGCCAGCCCCATGCCCACCACCCCAGAGGGGTGCAGGCTCCCTTCCTGCTCTACAGCTGCAACGAAAATACCAAACAGCAGCACAGAGAAAGTTCCAGTGACAAGGTCTTCTGCACAGGGAATGAGGGGAAAACCCAAACTGTGTGGCAGAGCAATCCCAGTGTCTTTTTCCACTCTGTCCCACAACACCAGTGGGTCAGAGAGTGCTGTTTACATGGATACATTTGGCGGGTTGACACCGCCCGAAGCAGCAACTCCTTCAGCTGATCAATCTTCTCCCTGAGATTCTGCAGTGATGATCTGATGGCCACATTGATCTGGAGGGGAAGAAAGAGAATATTTAAGTTTTTCTTTTTGGTCTGAGTTATAATTGCATAAAATTTCATACTGCGTCATGCAGTATTTGATATAAATATATACATATCAAATATATAACATATTATATATAATATGTAATATATATACTGTAATATATATAAATAATATGTATTTAACTTCAGCCCTACAGGTGTGAAGGGCTTCACTCCAGCCCCAGAAAGCTGAAAGGAAGTGACACAGCTCATGGCTCTGGGATGCTTAGAAAATAATGGGAGAAATAGTTCTAGTTTCACAAACACAATTCTGGGATGCTTAGAAAATAATGGGAGAAATAGTTCTAGTTTCACAAACACAATTCTAAGGCATTACTGCTGTTGAATATGGAAAGCTGTCTTTCAAGCCTTTATAAACACACTCCTCTATATGGGCAAAACATTTCAGCACATTTTAATATTTTTTAGATAGTTTTCCACTTCTCTCCTTTGATCTTTAACACAAATAAAAGCACCAGCTCCTTCAGCCACCAGGTTTCTTCCCCAGCTCCCAGGATTAGAGGGAAGGTTGCTACAGGTTCAGACATTCCCTCCACTGAACTCCTCCAAACTTTAAACTAAAGATCCCAAAGAAATTCAGATTCCTCCATGTCCCTTCTCAGCAGCACCTGGGACCCCCCACCCTTTCTCACCACTGACCTGCCCAGGATTCAGATGTGTCTGTTCTTACCAAAAGCAGTTCAGTTGTTCACAATTCTTCCCCGCTGCAAGCAAGCCCCAGGCTTGCAGGAATCCTCCTCTCCCCACCCCTTCCCAAGTCTGGCTGACATTATCCTCTGGGATTTTCCTCCTTAAATCTTATTTCTTTTCATTCCAGTTATGCAGAGAGTTCTAGGAAAAAACACTGTAACTGCAATTAACCATGCAAGTCATCCTAATTAAGACTTGATGTGCTTCTTGTTTACAAGCTCCTAGCCCTGCTGTGGGTTACAATGGGCTGCAACCCCAGTTCCTCTTTGAGGAACGTGGATCAGAAGAGGAATATCTGCTCTGACTCTCATTCCAGCCTTCTTGGAGACACAGCAGCAGCCAGACAGCAGCATGTCCCTGAACAGGATCCTGCACAGCCACACCACACTCAGTACCAGCACAGGGATGGAGCAGGAGAGCCCCAAAACCCCCCCGAAAGCATCAGGAATTTAAATCCCTCTGACTCTGTGAGGTTTGCTCTCAAACACCACCAAATACAACAGCAAGCAGAAGCAACCACACTGAGCCCTCGAGAGGATGCAGCCAAAATCCACCTTCAGCCCAACACCACGGCAACAATTCCCAAACCAGGGTGGGGTCTCAGTGCTTTTGGGAAGGCTCAACGTCCTGCAGGTCCTCTGGCTCTACAATCAGGTAATCAGCCTTTTAATTTCATGTGTTCTTGTGTCTCCAGGAGGAGAACGCTGCATTTAATCAACCCAGAACAGCAGAACAACATAAAGGTGACACGGCCAAGAAAGTCCTCAAACACAGACACCACTGGCCACAACTGCAGTGAGACAACACAACATTTCACTTCCTTCAGAGGAAAAAAGGAAAATAGAAAAAAAGAAACCAGTGGAAGGCTTAAGATCAGCTCGACAGAGCAGAGCTCACAGATGGTAAGTGCTGCCTTGAAATCTTTCCTTATAGTTTATATTTCCATTTTAAGTTTTATGCTCTATTTTTGGCAACAGGGTTTTTAGCCATGCCAATGGCAAAATACTATAAAAATAAAAACTTGTTTATATTCTCCCTAACAGGCAAACAATGCACAAAGACATCTCCCTGCATTAAAGCGCTCGGGAGGCACAGAATACAAGACTGCTCAGCCGTGGATTTCTCAACAGGCATTTCTGTTGTGAAAACAACTCTCTCCTTGTGGGAAACTTGTTTATAGTAGAATCAAACACTGCCAAATATTCATCTTTACCTGTTCATGGATGAAAGGGAAACTGGAAAACACAGGGCATGGAACAAGTGATTTTATGAAGCACTAAGTCAACCATGTAATGTTTCCATAAAACACAACCTCGGAGAGTTCTGGCCCCAGAAAGGCTTCAAACAACAGCCACACGAGGTTTGTTGGGGTTTGTGGACACGTCACGGATGGCACTGATGGAAATAGAGGACTTTGTCCTCTATAAATACACACAGGTTAAGCAGCAATCTTTTTATTAGTCTTCTACTGCTTGGGCATATCTGTACAATTTGTGATAATTCACCATCCTGCAGGCAGGGACCAACCTCCAAACACTCCTCTCAATGCTACAGCCAGAGAAAACACTCCTCTCAAATCCCACTTATTTGGGCCTTCTGAAACCTCAATTCATGATGAATTTGAGTCACTCATTCAGCAGCACTGATTATTGGACAAAGCCCACACAGTTTTCCTCAACATTTCTTCACGGGAAACATTTCAAAAATGGCATTTTATTTTAAAAGCTGACAGGTTTTAAACTGGAAGAGGAGATTCAGTGATTGGGCATCATATTAAACCCCTGCTATAAAGAGGAGCAGAGCCTGCAAGATAAATCAGTGGGGCTTTAATTATGTCAATTATTATAAAGGACCAACTCAAGGACTTGCAGCCTTTTTTTATCTTAACACATCCAGGGGACCTGTTGATGGCATGAAGCTGCTCCTGCACTGCCTGGAGGAAAGGATGAGGCTTTTAGTCCCGGAGAAAGGAGCTTCCTGAGAATCCCAATTTCATTTTATTTTTTAAACAGGAAGTGTGAAAACGTAGAGAACATTTTCCTGGGTAAGCTCTCACTTCTGCTTCTCATTTATATTTAATTCTGGTCTTATGTTTTGTCCAAAATGTGGCTAAAACAAGGCTGCAAAGTTCCTGTTTCCTCTGCTGTGGAGCCCCTGCAGAAGGCAGCGATCCAGCCTCGTGGGGACAAACATCTGTTCCCTATTCCCAGAGAGGGGCACAGAGCAGCTGATGTGCATCCCAGCACCTCTGAGCCTCGGGATCTCTGGGAAAGTTCTGATCCCGGCAGCGACAGCCCCGAGCAGTCAGCAGGGTGAGCCCAAGGCTCCCAGGGCTCCTCCTCTCCTCCTTTCAAACCAGCCTGATCGCCCACAGAAACATCAGTCCTGTTAAACCCAAGGTGACTTTTGGGAGGCTGAGAGGCCTCTGTTAATGTCGAGTTTGCATCCTCGTTGTCTTTACAGGACCCCCGAAGAACAGAGCGCTGGCGGCGGGTTCCTGCCATCGGACACAGCGTGTCCCTGCAGGTCCCCAGCGGTGACACCGACACAGCCGGACCCGGGCAGGGCCGGAGCGTCCCCCCCGTCCTGGCACCGGCTCTGCCCCTTCCAGCAGCTCCCGCTTCCCTCCGCGCCCCTGCCAGGGAATTCAGGGCTCCCGGGCACATCCCGCCCCTGCAGATCTAAAGCTGAACCCGCTCCGAGAACGCTCCAAACCCAAACCCGGCTCAGCCCCCGTCCCGGGGTACCTTGGCTGAGCTCTCCCCGCTCCGCTGGCACCGGTTCCGCTCCTGGATCTTCTCGGCGATGTCCTGGGCGAGCTGGCGAGTGGCATCGAGCAGGGAGAGCCTGGAGGGAGCGGGGGAGCGGCTGAGCCCGGGGGG